TAACCTCCCTTCCTTTTTTCAGATAGTGTCTCATACATCCCAAGATAGCCTGGAACTGCCTCAGGCTGATCTTGATTTTCTGATTCTCCTGCCTCTATCTCCAGAGTGCTGCAATTACAAGCACACTCCCATATTTATTTATTTTTTATGTGTATAAAATTAAATTTTTTATTTTATTTTTTTTATATTATTTGTTTTTAAATGTCTTGTCTACATGTATATAAATGTACCATATGCATGCAATGCCTGCAGAGGCCAGAAGAGGGTGTTGGGTCCTCTGGAACTGGAGTTATGGATGGTTGTTTGCTGCCATATGGGTGCTGGGATCCAAACCTGGGTCCTCTGGAAGAGCAGCCAGTGTTCTTAACTGCTGAGTCATCTTTCCATCCCTCCACCCCCCATCCCCACCCAACTCCCAGTTTTATGTGGTGCCGGGCATGGAACCCGGGGCACATATATGCTAGGCAAGCATCTCTACCAATTGAGCTACATCTTAAGTTCCTTAAACTATTTTTTATTTGGGGCTTCTTTTTAAAATTACATTTTATTAATTATGATGATGAGTGGGGTCAGAAGAAAACTTGCAGGAATCAGTTCTCTCCTTCCACTATGTTGTTCCTGAGGATAGAACTCAGGTGGTCAGGCTTGGTGGCAAGCATAATTTTTACCTGCTGTGCCATTTTAACAGCCCTTATTTAGTATTCCTCTTCCTTTCAACAGAATATAATATTAACCAGCACACGAGGATCTACACTGGTAAACACCGGAGAAATAACTGAACAAGGGGTTGGAAACGCACAACTGAGAGACCCAAGGTGCTTTGGAGTCGATGGCCAAGTGCTCTGCCTCATGACTGCTTTTTTTTTTTTTTTTTTTGGTTTTTTTGAGACAGGGTCTCCCTGTAGCCCCAGCTGTCCTGGAACTCACTATGTAGACCAGGCTGGACTTGAACTCACAGAGATCCGCCTGCCTCTGCCTCCTGAGTGCTGGGATTAAAGGCGTGCGCCACCACCCCCAGCATGAGTGCATTTTTGGCCCGAAGTTCTAAGCTAGCTCTGAGAGGCTCCATCATCTTTGCTATAAGTGAAGACTCTAAGTTCAGATAGCATAGTGGGTACTGGCTGTCATTCCCAGCTGACATGTCCCCTCAGGAATGATGCACTCAGTGACCTAAGGCAGGTCTCTAGAGTCCCCATGGCATGGTGATGCATGTCTTTAATCCTAGCACTCAGGAGGCAGAGGTAGGTGGATCTCTGGGAGATCAAGGCCAGCTTTTGGAGTTCTAGGCCAGCTGGGGCTATAGGGAGACCCTGTCTCAAACAAACAAACAAAAACCAAAAACCCTGTTTATACTCTCCAGTGGGCCAAATCCCACTTGCGACTCAGGCCTCCAGGAACTCATTCTTTAAAACCACACTCTCAGAGGGCAGGCCTCAGAGTCTTCATGGTAATCTCCAAGAACAACAACGCAAATCCCTTGTTGGGCTGTCAAGATGGTGGCTTCTGGGGACTCGGGGGGTGGAAGACCTGTTGTTCTTCTTGGAGGGACTCTGGGTTGACAGGGGACTTGAATATATAGACCAGTTCTAAGTCTCAGCTGTGGTGTCTACCTCCTGAGCATCAGATTCTTTATAAAGTGGGAGGATGAGTCAAGGAGGTCCCAGCCAGGCACTGGACCTGACACAGTGAAAGTCAATATTCCCAGGCTGGTGAAATGGCTCAGTGGGTAAAGGCTCCTTCTGCCAAGCTTGACCATCTGAGTTTGATCTTTGGAGCCCACACAATGGGAAAAGAGAACCAACTTCCGCAAGTTAACCTTTGACTTCCACTGGAGGGTTTGTGGTATTCACCCCACCCAAATAAATTAATTTTTTAAAAAAGTTGTTTAAAAAGGTTAATAATGCCATTATATGCAAAGCACGGACATTTACAAAATAGAAAGGGGGAAGGGTGGTCCATCTGCATTTCTGTCCCCTCTACACAAGACTAAGTGAGCCTTAGAACACTGCAAAGTCAGAAGCCAGGATGGCATTATTTACCCAGCAAGATTCAAAAAGCTGCCTCTGCTCTAGGAGGGAGAAGGCAGTCAGTCACCTGCCATTCACAGGTTTACACAAGGATGTAGAATCTGGACTGGAACTCACTATGTAGACCAGTCTGGCCTCCACCTCACAGAGATCCGCCTGCCTCTGCCCCCGGAGTGCGCTACCATGCCTGGCCCCTGAAAGATACACTTCCTTTTTTAATCAGTGGCTCAGAGGGCTAGGATGTTTCCGATTAGTATGAGGCAATCCACCTCCTACTTCAGTGGCCTGAAGCCACATTGTTATTTTCTCAGCAGCCTGCACTTTGGAGGGGGTTTCCTCAGTTCTTCGTGCTTGAGGGGCTGGAATGCTTAAAGACAGGTGGGTTCCCATTCCCAATGGGACATTTGGATCAGTGATGCTCTTGTTCAGAGCTGTGGCTAAGGGAGAAGAAGATTCATGGTACCCTAGGGGTTGTGTGGGTCTAGTCTAGCATCATTTCTGCTGTAAATCTTAAGGCAGCTCAGTTGGAAGGAGAGGAGGGACAGCCAAAAGAAGCCTGGTAGAAAAAGCCTGGAGTCAATTTGCCTCACCAACAGGTCACACTTCTGACAGCTCAATAATGAAGATGGAGCTCTTGCCATCTGATTATCTTTGTGGATTCCTTCCTCCTAGCCTTAGCATGTGATATATACTTTTGTGGAGGCCTTCCTCCATCTAATTCTGCTGCACCTGTCAGCTTTGCCATAATCCACCCACACCCTGGAGAGTTCCAAAGTCTCCCTCTGTTCCCACAAAAGTCCTTACCCTTGCTGCTCACCCACTGACCCTGCTAGAAGGACGGCAGCCTATGGAAGAGCTGGCTCATTCCCATTACCCCAGGGTGTCTACCCTCCTTGAACACACATGCCTGGCCAGTCTCAGGCTCTATCTGGGAATGTAGTGATTTGGATGCTCATTACAGAATTTTTTCAGATCAACATCCGGGAGAGTGCTGGGAAGGGTGGAAAGAGAGAGATGAAGGCTTCCAGATTCTCCAAGGGACCCTGGGGCTGAAATAGCCTTCTGCATATTAGCAGAGGCAAGAGATGGGTGTGACAGCCACTGGAATGTCAGCCACTCCTGGAGGCATGTAACCTTTGAGAGTACTCTCTGCAGCCCAGGTGGTCCTTAGAGAGGCAGAGGGGCAGATGGGGGTGAGCAGAAGAGATGGTGGCAGTCCATTTGAGCTCTCTGAGGAACTGGCTTACCAGTGGTGGTGACATGGAGCTGAAGGGAGAACAGGGCCAACACAGGGAGGATTTTTATATATCGGATTTGGGGGAGCTGGCAATCAAGGGCTCAGGTCCCCTGGGATTCATTCAATTAGTTCCAGGAGAAGAATGATGTCCCTGGTGGTACCATGCATTGGGGGACTAGGCATTACCTGCATGGGTTTGGTTCCAGAAACTATGCCCTAATGACCACCCAACCATGCCCATCGTTCACACTCTAGTCAAACTGACTACAAAAACAAATTATAAACATTCAAAATTCTAAGGGATGGGCCAGATCGATGGTAAAGCTGGTAAAGGGGTTTGTCTAGTTTGATCTCCAGGATTCACATGTGCTAAAAAAGAGAGAATTGAGTTCTTCAAGCTGTCTGACCTCCACACATGCCTACACCAACAGACATACAAAATAAAATGCAATGAAAAATAAAAAGGGATGGGGCTGGAGAGATGGCTCAGCGGTTAAGAACACTGGTTGTTCTTGCAGAAGACCTGGGTTCGAATCCCATGTTAGCACATGGCAGCTAACAACGGTTGGTAACTCCAGGCCCGGGGGATCTGACAGCCTCTTCTGTTCTCTGCGGGCATTGCACAACATGGGTGCACTTACCTACATGCAGGCAATACACACATACACATAAAATAAATATTTTTTAAAAAAAGAAAAGAAAAATAAAAAGGGGACACAAACCCCAGCTTCTTGTGCCTCTGGTCTCCCCTACCCCATTTCCTAAGCTCTATCTTTGGGTTTTACAACCTAGGTTGGCACAGTATGTCTACCACAAGCCATATGATCTCTCTCTTTCCAAATACTTCTGGGCATCTACCAGGCCTCAATCTAACATCACAAGTTCCTGGAAGCCTTTTCTGATGAATCCCTTACTACATTCCTTTTTTAAATTTTGGTACCTATTGAACTAATACTTATAGGATGTCTAGGTCCCAACTTCTCGGTAGTGTTAGAGAGTCCAGCTCCTCTGGGCGTTTATTTTATTTTTGAGACAGATCTCATGTATTCTAGGCAAGTTTTGGATTCTATTGTAGCTTAAAATGACCTTGAACATCTGATCCTTCTGCCTCCACCTCCCAAGTGGAAATTACAGGCCTGTGCCGCCACGCCCAGTTTTATTCAGGGCAGAGAATAGAACCCGGGGAAGTGAGGTACATCCTAGATGTGAGTTAAAAGACAACCAACAGCGACGTGGAAAAAAAAAAAAAAAGTCATGATATCATTGTTCAGTGCAAGGGGAAAACAAAAAACAAATGCAAGTTAAGAGGACCCAGAGTACCTGGACACTCGTAGCAGCTCACAACCTTGGTGTGGTTCCGGGGACCCGCCTTAGGCTCAGATTCGAGGCCGGGAGGCGTGCAGATCGCAGCGAGGGTCCCTGGTCCCCATGCTCGGTGGCTGGGGAAGATCTTCAGGGTCCCGCAGCCCGGGGGACGCTCGCTCCCGAAGACTGAGCTGGCGCGGGTCAGCCAGGTACTGTGGGGCGCCGCTCCCGCGCGCGCTTCCCGTGAGGGGCGGTCCTGCGATGGCCACGCCCCCGGAGGGCAAGCCCACTAGGGCGGCACATAAATGACGCCCAGGACTCCGCTCGGCGCGGGTTCGAGCGCTGCTGCTCTGAGGTGGACTGCCGGGGTCCGGCGTCGCCCGTGTTCCGCTCGCTGCCACGCCTCGGCCGGCGCCCTCGGAGCTCCAGCCATGCTGTTCTGGCACACGCAGCCGGAGCACTACAACCAGCACAACTCCGGCAGCTACCTGCGGTAAGATCGCCGCAGCCACCTGCTCGAGGTCGGGGCCTGGGGACCATCCGACCTGCGGAGCCTGGGGGAGCGCTCTCACCGCTAGGCCTTCGGTGCCCCACCCTTGGCGGAAGGAGGGACCCTCCCGGAGAACCCGATCGGGACCGGGCGAGTGATCCTGGGAACCCGATAGGGAGATCGGCGTGCACTGATGCCCTCTCCATGCCCACTGCGACCCCGGGCACACCTGCGGCCCTGGGCGTCCTGGCCCAGGTCCCGCAGCCTCCCCTACTCCTCTCACTCCAGTTGGAGAAATAAACTTGCCATCCATCAGGAGCCAGTCCCCTGCTCTTTGCCCCTCTCACCCGGGTTCCTCTCAGAGCCTCCTGCCCTCTGCCGGGCCCTTGATTGAGCCCTGGGGTCGGTAAGTGGGTGGCGACAGCGGGTCTGCGCTGCGCCTCTCGGGCCTGCTGCCGCCCCCTGCCCAGATAAGCTTGCGAGTGTTCCCCCCGAGGCCCCAGCTAACCGTTATCGTCCTTCACCCCAAATCTTTCCTCCTCTGCTGGGATTTGAATAAAGCGCTTCAAGGGGAAAAATAAGTCCTGCCTGTTTTGCAAAGTTCTCTGCATCCCCTCTTTTATGAACTGGGACCCGCCTTTGCTTCCGTGACTGCGAGATTCTTTTTTTTCTCCTTTGGTGCCGCTGGCTGGAGCGCTAATAGGCAGACATTTAATTTTCTGAACTCGCCAGAACCAGCTTCAACCTGTCTTTATTTCCATCCTAGTCAGTTTATTAAATGTGCCTTGTTTAACCCAAAGGGTGTTTGACGTGGGCTCAGGAAACAATGAGCTGGGAGGCAGAAGACTGCCTAAGTGTTCTCAACCCCAAAGCCAGAGCTACCGGCTTGTTTGGCCCCCAAAAGCTCGCACTTGGATTTAACCCTGCAGGTGATTGTATTCCTGTGTTTTGGTACTTGTTTGTCCAGAAGCCCTTTGGGAAAGCATCCCCCTTCTACAAACTAGAGAATTGACTGGGCTTCAGTTCTGTATCTTTTGGTTTGGTTTTTATTCCCAGTTATGGAAAGTAGCAAAAAAAAAAAAAAGGTAGGGTCTTGAAACTGCTGACCATGGTGGTTTACCTGGACACTGTTCCTGGGGTATTGTAGAGCCCACTGTTAATCTCCAACACATAGGATTTTTGTTTTAAAAAATGCTATAGGGTAAACACATGTTAACTGCAGGCTAACTTATAGTTTCTTGTGAATTTTAGTGGGTGGCCATTAGGTAGCTCATCCTATCTTTAAAATGAATTTGAAGGTGACCTTGAGCTGAAGTGTATTTGAAACTTCCTAGATACTTAAAACAGCATCCTGATAGGGGACAGTTTTCTTGCATGAGAGGTGTGGTTTTCACGCCTGCCACTGAGGTAGAAGTTTGTCTGTGAACTAGCCTAGATTCTTAAGATTTTGACTTTGTCTGAAAGGAGGAAGACAAAATTTGGGGCTGAGAGCTGTTCTCTGGGGTGGTTTTATAAGCCATAGATGAAGACAGTGTGTACTCCCTTCTCAGAAACTGGGTTTTTCACCTTCAAGTAGTTTGACTCTGAAGATCAGTGCCTGTGTCCCAGCCCCCTAACTCTAGAGTGAGGATACTGTCCTCAGTTTGACTCTGAAGATCATCGAAGTGGAGATCAGTGCCTGTGTCCCAGCCCCCTAACTCTAGAGTGAGGATACTGTCCTTCCTACTGCTTTTTAACTTCTTTTCTGCAGTGCTGGGGATGAACCAGAGTCTCACACTTGCTAGGTACTGCTGGCCCTTCCTCTGAGCTGGCGCTTCCACTGAGGGAGCCAACTCCTTGCCTTCATTGCTTTTGTTGTTTTGTTTTTTCGCATTTTATTTTGGGCGTCTACTGCCCCTGTTGAACTTCTCAGCAAGCTGTCTGACCTTGCAGGAGTAGTGAGTGGCCTTTACTCCATTCTTCCCCTTTCTGTTTGATGTTCTGGTGACTTTTATTCCTTGGCAAATAAGGATGCCAGGCATGAAACAACTTACTGTTGAATGATGGTTCTTAACCCTCCCCCATCCCCACTTTTTTTCTTTAAATTTAGAAGCAACAGTGCATGGATTATTAACTTAACATGGTCTGGGCAAACATGGAATTATGCAATCCCCAGGCGAGCAGGCCTGCCTGCTTCTTCCCATGTTCCTCGATAACCACTTGAGCTGGCAAAAAGGAAAAGGTTTACTGCAGGTGAAGCCGGCCATCCTCTCTCTCTGCAAGCAGCAGATGGTAGGAATGCAGGAAAACCCCCATAGGAAAGGTTTCCCAGGTATGCCCAAAGCCAGGATTTCAGAGAATTGGTTAGGCATTGGGGTGTGTGCCAGGTTTGTGTTTCATGAACACTCGTTTATGATGTACAAGGAACACAACGTACTGGTGACTGCGCAGTGAAGTGGGGTCAGCTGATCTGATTCATAACCCAGGACCCATGGAGGGAGGAGGGTTATCAAGATAGGGCAGGTCACTTTTTTGGCACTTGTTTCTGTGGTGCACATAGTTTAGAGTCCTCAAACAAGTCTAGCCTGTGGGTCATTCAGGCTCTCAAGGATTTCATTGTTCACAGTCAGGACATCCATCAGAAGTCCCAGCTACTCTGTAAGGCACAGTGAGACTATCCCTTCAGTCTTAGAGTTAAAGGTCAGCCTGAGCAAAATAGTGACACCATCCCCCCAAAAGTCTAGAAACAAATTCCTTCTCAGTCACAGGCTAATCAGAGACTGGTGTGTGTGTGTGTGTGTAAGAGCATGTGCACAAGTGTTTGGAAACCAGAGGACAACCTCAAGTGATGTGGTTCTTCGGGTTTCATCTACCTTGTTTTTGGAGGCATGGTCTCTTACTGACCTGGAGCTTCCCAAGAAGGCTAGGCTGGCTGGCTATGAACCCTACACATCCATATCTCTATCTCCCCAGCACTGAGATTATGTGGGTTCTAGGGATTGAACCCAGGTCCTTGTGCTTGCAAGCCAAGTGCTTTACTTACAGCCATCTCTCCAGCCCAAGACTGATGCTTTTGATACTTTGTTTAGAGGTAGAAGAAGAAAAAAAAACTTTGAGCATCTCAAGATTTGCCACTTGGGTAAGAAAGCTGACTGAAAGGAAAGTCTTCTCTCCTTATGGCGTTTTGGTGATACCACATGACATGGTTCAGAGAGTCAAGGCTCTTATTGCCAATCTAGTGACCTGAGCTCAGTCTCTGGGAGCACATGATAGGAGAGAACTGACGCTTGAAAATTGTCCTCTGACCTCCACTCACACACTGTGTCATGCATGTATCCACATGTACACAAAATAGAAAGAATTTAAAAAGAATTTAAGAGGACTAGAGAGATGGCTCAGCAGTTAAGAGCATCGGCTGCTCTTGCAGAGGACCCAGGTTCCATTCCTAGCACCCACATGGTGGCTAACAACTGTCCATAATTCCAGTTCCAGGGGATTTGACACCCTCTTCTGACCTCCACAGGCAGTATTGCATGACACGGGTGCACTTACATACATGCAGGCAATACACTCATACACATAAAATAAAAATAATAAATAAAAATTTTTTTTAAAAGAATTTTTTTTTTTTTTTTTGGTTTTTTTGAAGCAGGTCTCCCTGTAGCTCCAGCTGGCCTGGAACTCACTATGTAGACCAGGCTGGCCTTGAACTCAAGAGATCATGCCTGAGAATGGTGGCTCATAACAGAGCTGACAGATCTCTGTGAGATCAAGACCAACCTGGTCTATGTAGTGAGTTCTGAAAATTATTCAGGTGATTATTGATTATTTTGAAAGAAAGGTGTTTTGAGGGAGCGCTTGTAGATAGAAAGCTGATGTCTGTGGCTGTGACTATAGCTCAGCTGTACAGCATTTGCCAAGCATACATGAGGTCCTGGGTTCAATTCCTGATCACTGCCCCCACCCACACTAAGAAAAGGGAAAAAAGACATAGTTTTGTTGCTGCTGGTCTCTGAATCTTAGAGGTTTTCTGCAGGTAGGAGACAACTTTACATTTCACCTCTTCAGGCCTTGGTTGAATAGATCTCTCGAGGGCCATTGGGTGGGGTTAGAATCATGGAGTAGTGATTGCATCTGAAGTTTTGAGCCATGAGGGGCAGAAGCTAGGTCAGCATGCCTCAGTGGGCTCTGTGGAGTCATCGCTGGTACCATGATCTGCATCCATCTCTGAGACATTGCTTTGTGTCCCTGGGCTTTGCTCCTGACCACTGCTTCCTGTGTTTTACAGCGATGTGCTGGCACTTCCCATCTTCAAACAAGAGGAACCCCAGCTATCCCCTGAGAATGGGGCCCGCCTGCCACCCCTGCAGTACGTGCTGTGTGCTGCCACCTCCCCAGCTGTGAAGTTGCATGAAGAGACCTTGACGTATCTCAACCAAGGTAGAGGCCTGAACTGGGGTGGAACTTGGTGTGTGTGTGTGTGTGTGTGTGTGTGTGTGTGTGTGTGTAGGGGGGCACACAGAATAGTGAGGAGTTGGTGTCCAAGACCCAGTTGGTCTCTGTAGTTGTGTCACAGGACTCTGGAAGGAATACAGGCTTTGGGGGTCAGGCACAGGTTCAGATTATGTTTCCTAGCCGTGTGGCTTTCCTGGACCTCTGTGAGTTCATTGGGTAAATAGAAATATTTAGATCTGAGCTGGTGGGAGTGGCAGTGGTGTGCACTTGTGATCCTCATGTCTCAGCTACTCTAGAGCTTGAGGCAGGAAGTTTGCAGAGAACGGAAACAGCCTAGACAATAGAGTGAGACCCTGAGGAAAGAAAAAAAGATGGAAGGAGGGAAGGAAGCGAGGGAGGGAGGGAGAGAGAAGAAGGGAGGGAGGAAGGCAGGTGAGCAAGAACATCAATTCTTTTTTGTTTGCTTTTGAGACAGGTTCTCACTATGTAGCCCTGGCAGGCCTAGAGCTTGCTACATAGGCCAGGCTGCCCTGGAAGTCACAGAGATCCACCCGCCTCTACTACCTGAGTGCTGGGATTAAAGGCATGAGCCACCATACCCAGCTCCAGTGTTTCTTTCCTTTTTAAAAAGTTTTTATTGTATTTTATATTTGTGTGTGCACATATACGCTTATGTTCTACGATGCACTTGAGGAGGTTGGAGGACAACTTACAGGTGTCTATTCTCTCCTTCTATCATATGCATCCCAAGGATCAAACTCTATTTGTCAGGGTTGGCAGTAAGTGCCTTTACCCACTCAGACATCTTGCTGGCCTCATGTTCCCATTTTTGCATGTTTTATTCATTAGACACACAGGCAGTGCTTCTGTGGATGGAGTTTTGCTGATTTCTGTTGTGATGACATGTCTGTGTTCAGCACTGTCTTCCTGGGTCACCTCATAAACAATCTGCTATCATCCACTGTGCTGGATCAGCCTCTGTTTTCAGTAAGAATCCAGGAGGGGCAGCTGAGTCCTGGTTTGGTAGTCACATTGCTGCGAGGTGGCAGGTTTTTTTTTCCACCAGCTGCCTTCTATTAGCAGAATGGCTTCCTGGATTTACCCTTGCCTCATACCAGAGCGCACAATGAATGGAGGTGACTGGGGCTGCCTCTGCATGGAAACTACCCCTGTCACTGCTGGCCTGTCCTGAGGAAGACAGTCACCCCTGTGGGCCACATATTCCCTGGCTCCAGCTGGTCTTGCTAAGCCCAGCTCTATGGAGGCTGGTGGCCATCTATGGTGAGGGCAAGCCAGTTGGAAGCATTCCCTTGTGTGTTTGCTTATTTGCACAGTGGCTTCTGCCACTGTCCTTTCTCAGTTATGGAAGGTCAACTGTCATCAACTTTCTGTCTTTGAGCAGTTTATTTCCTTGTTGGGCCTCTCTTCTCTTTCTTAATTTTAAAATGAAGGAATGATGAGGCCATTGAGCTGACACGAGTCTTGTTTTGGGCCACGCTCTACATGGGTTGAGGCCCGCCTTGAGCACTCTCAAGGCTTGCTTGTTGCTTGGCCAGGACATTTGTGTCTGTTCCCTGCCCCCATTTTAAGGCATTTGCTATGTTGACCATACCCCTCCCTGGTTATTTAGCCAACTTTATAAGATGTTTGAGGGGACTGGAGAGATGGTCAGTGGTTAAGAACACTTGGTGTGCTTGTAGAGGACCGAGTTTGGGTTCCAAAACCCTTGCTTGGTGGCTTTCTACTGTTTGTAACTCCAGCTCCAGGAAAATAAAAAATAAAATCATTTAAAAAAGGCTAGATATGGTGGTACATACTTTTAATCCCAGAACTCTGAAGGCAGAGGGAGATTGATCTCTAAGTTCAAGGCCTTGGCTAGCCAAGTATAAATAGTAAGACCCTATCACAAACAAAACAAAACAAGATCTTTTTTAAAAAGATGTTTTATAGCATACTTAAGGTCTTATTAAAAAGTTTAAAAGATGCTACCTTCTTCATTATAGATGCTAAAAAAGAGAGAAAAGGGTTAGCCCTGTGGTTTTACTGTCCTGTGTTAACTTTGCATATTTACATATTTATTTAATTATTTAATTATTTATTTCACAATGGTGGGAATTTGAACCCAGGGCTTCTCTTATACTAAGCAACAGGGTCTTGTTGACCTGTGTCACAGAACTATAACCCCTCAAAGCCCAGATATTTTTTAAATTGCTTTTTTTGTTGTTTTGAGACAGTATATTTTGAGTTTCCAAGGTTAATTTGGAACTCTCTATGTTAGCCCAGGTTAGCCTCTTACTGAATCTTGTTTCGGTTTACCAAATGCACTATCATGATTGGCCTAAATTACATTCTCTTGACTAATAATTTAAATAGATGTTCGCTATAAAAACTTAGATCATTTATAAAAGGGACCCTGGAAATGTGTGGAGTGCTTATCTAGCATGCTGGAGGTCCTGGGTTTGACATCCAGCATTGCATAAATAGGGTGTGGTAGTGCACACTGCAATCCCAGTGCCCTAGAGGTCATCTTTGGCTACTTACTGAGTTTGAGGCTAGTCTAGGACACCCTGCCTCAAAAACAAAACCAAAACTTCCAAAATAGTAACTTAATAGTTACCATTATATTCTATGCTTCCCTTCTCTCTGTAGTAACTGTTATATGACTGTGTCCATAAAGCATGGTTAATATGTTAATTTGCTGCTAATTCAAATGTTTCTACTGAATGAAACAGATTCCCAGTTAAAACACATGAAAGGAACTGAAAAACAAAGAACAAATGGCTGAAAATGTAAAGAAAAAACAGATTCGAATGCCCTCTAATATCATCACTAACTTTTTAAACTTTTTTTAACTTTATTATTTTTATTTTATGTGTATGCGTGTATTGCCTGCATGTAGGTAAGTGCACCCGTGTTGTGCAATGCCCACAGAGGTCAGAAGAGGCTGTCAGAGCCCCTGGGACTGGAGTTAGTTACGGACAGTTGTTAGCTGCCATGTGGGTGCTGGGATTCGAGCCCAGGTCTTCTACAAGAACAACCAGTGTTCTTAATCACTGAGCCATCTCTCTAGCCCTATACCACTAATTTTTTTAATGTGTATATATTTACATTTTTTAAATTACATTTACTTATTTAGTTGTGTGCATGCTTGCCGTGGTGCACATGTGGAGGTCAGAGGACAATTGCAGGAGTCATTTCTCTTCCTGCACCGTCTGGGTGCTGGGGATCAAACTCAGGTTGTCAGACTTGAGTACAAGCACTCTTGTTCACTGAGTCATCTGATAGCTCAGCCACTAATCTTCTATCTATGCATTTTATATATGTATATTTTAACATTGATATCATATTACAAAAATTTAGCCTGGTTTCTTTCTATTTGCTGTTTAGTGAACTTTTCTCATGTCACAAAAAGTGTTTTGGAGACTTCATTTTTTATAATGATGGCATAGTGCTACATTGTGAACTCTGTCACTTTGGTCATTCATTCTCTTATTGTAGGCATTTACTTTCCAATTGTTAGAAATTAAACATTGATGTGCCAGGCATGGTGGCACACGTCGTTAATCCCAGCACTTAATTGGCAGAGGCAGGAGGATCTCTGTGAGTTCGAGGCCAGCCTGGCAGCCTGGTCTACATAGTGAGTTCTAGGTCAGCTGTCTCAAAAAAAAAAAAAAAGTTAAACATTGAGGGCCAACAAGATGGCTTAATGGGTAAAAGTGCCTGTTGCTAAGCCTGGTGATGTGAATTCAGTTCCTGGGACTCACATGGCAGAAGGAGAGAACTGACTCCCACAAATAGTCCTCTGACCTCCACTTGCATGCAATGGCATGGGCACACACACATTAAAATAATAATTTTTAAAATTAAACTTCGAGGGCTAGGGATGTAGCTCAATGGTAGGAGCGCTTGCCTAGAAATTAAACATTGATAACTATCCCTGTATTTGTCTTTATTATTTTTAATATATATTTTTATTGAATTTTTGTGCATTTCATACATCTTAATCATATTACATTTAGACCCCCTCCTCCCTCTGCACCCTCCCATAGCTCACCCACCCTTTTTCATGCATTCTGCTATAGATCTTAAGTCCTATTGAGTCAAATTTAGGACCCCAGATGTCCCCAGGTGGACCACCCACAGGATTTCATGCATTCTGTCATATATGTTAAGGCCTATTGAGTCAAGTTTGTATACACAAATGTACCCCTGTGTGAGTTCATCCACGGGGCCTGGTCAACCTATCTAGCATCACTCCCTTAAAGAAGACCAACTCTCCCTCACCCTGCAGTGAGCATTTTGTAGATAATATACTAACAAGTAAAATTACCGTATCAAGGGGTTTGATGATATGTATTTTCTTTTTTCTCTTTTTTTATATTTTCTTTTTATTTTATGTGTATGCATGTATTGCCTGCATGTGGGTAAGTGCACCCGTGTTGTGCAATGCCAGGCAGAAGAGGCTGTCGGATTCCCTGAAACTAGAGTTAAGGACCGTTGTTAGCTGCCATGTGGGTACTAGCAGTCCAACCCCGGTCTTCTGCAAGAACAGTCAGTGTTCTTAACCACTGAGCTATCTCTCCAGCCCCCAATGATATGTATTTTCTTCAAAGAATGTACCAGTTTGCATACCAGCAAGCTCTATGCTTTTCACTGTCTTTCCCAATGTTTGGTATTACTAGTTTTCATTTGATTAGTGAAACATGGACTTGATCTTTAAAAAAACCCAAAACTTTTGTGTATGTGATTTATGTATGCTGTATCTAAGTATGATGTATGTGTATGTGTAGGTGCATTTATACCTCCGCATGCACATGGAAGTCATGACCTTGGGTGTCTGTCCTCACCTTCCACCTTGTCTGCAATGGGGTGTCTTTGTTGTTTGCCATAAGCTTCTGGGAATTCAGTCTCCACCTCCCATCTCATCATAGAAGGGCTTCTTCATCTAGCTTTTTGTGGGTTCTGAGGATTCAAACTTGGGTCTT